TCCTTTTGCGACTGCTATTATTCAATTGACTGGTCATGTGGCCTCCTCCACATGAGGATGAATCGTATCCACAAAGGCATGGTTTGTTTGATATCGCAACTGGTGTGCTCATGATCTTTATATTCCTCGTTGTGAAACTAGTGTTCCAACACAGAGCATGTCGTAGCATTGTGCGATGCGGGATGCCAAATTTTAACAATACTAAACGCTGCAGCAACTCACATAGTGACTTTCAAGATTCTCCAAATTGCTGCATGCGCAGTATTTTTTTTCCGAATAGAAACGGGGAAAAAAGCGATGCACTGCAGGTGTTGGCTAGCGAAGGACGGACGGATTGGAACGCCCAAGTACGAATGCAAAGAAGGTACAGTAGTAGGACAGTGGAAAGCTACGTACCAAAGAGGTTGTGAAAGAAGTTGGTGAATGAGCTGCAGCTCAGTTGCAGCTCATTCCTTTTGAAAAGACTGCTCTGTATTTGACAGAGGGAATTTGAAGTCTAGGAATAGATCGTTTTTAAGATTAGGAAAGCACACGGCTCTTCTACCTGTAACACCCATCATTATGACCATTACGCAAAAAGAGCTACCGCTTCCTCACCACTCAGGCGAGCTACCCAAACCATGATTCCAAGGCAGTCCTTGATGCCTTTGATCCTACCAAGGACCTTCAGTTGCAAGATCTAAACAGCCTTGTCAAAAAGGGTGTACAAGGAGGCCCCGGCCTGGTACACGGGATGGCCAAAGGAACAGGTGAACAACTTTAATTTTTGGCATTGCCCAATGATTAGGTACACAACCATTGGCAAAAAGAAAGAGCAGCATTTTGATAAATTGGCTGGACCATGACATTCTGGAGAACGGGAGCCTAACAATACTAAACGCTGCAGCGACTCGCATAGTGACTTTCAAGATTCTCCAAATTGCTGCATGCGCAGTATTTTTTTTCCGAATAGAAACGGGGAAAAAAGCGATGCACTGCAGGTGTTGGCTAGCGAAGGACGGACGGATTGGAACGCCCAAGTACGAATGCAAAGAAGGTACAGTAGTAGGACAGTGGAAAGCTACATACCAAAGAGGTTGTGAAAGAAGTTGGTGAATGAGCTGCAGCTCAGTTGCAGCTCATTCCTTTTGAAAAGACTGCTCTTTATTTGACAGAGGGAATTTGAAGTCTAGGAATAGATCGTTTTTAAGATTAGGAAAGCACACGGCTCTTCTACCTGTAACACCCATCATTATGACCATTACAGACTTCACCGTGCGCAAAAAGAGCTACCGCTACCTCACCACTCAGGGGAGCTACCCAAACCATGATTCCAAGGCGGTCCTCAATGCCTTTGATCCTACCAAGGACCTTCAGTTGCAAGATCTAAACAGCCTTGTCAAAAAGGGTGTACAAGGAGGCCCCGGCCTGGTACACGGGATGGCCAAAGGAACAGGTGAACAACTTTAATTTTTGGCATTGCCCAATGATTAGGTACACAACGGTTGGCGAAAAGAAAGAGCAGCATTTTGATAAATTGGCTGGACCATGACGTTCTGGAGAACGGGAGCGACCCACTGGCATTCTCTTGGCCGGCAAAGGCCTTCTCAAAAACCCATCTGGTTAAGGTTCCAAAGTTGGAGGCGTGGATGATAAACGAGGAGCTCGAGCAGGATTGCTCCAAGTTGTTTGTGATGGAGAATATCACCGACGAAGATCCTGAGACGGCTTACAACCTACTGGTCACACCCAAGCGAATGCCCATTTCCCAAGGAGATCTTGGATATCACTTGGGACGGATCGTACGCACGCAAAGTCTTGCGATTGGTGATTGACAAAATCAAGATTCTCGCCAACAGCGAGGAGCCTGAAAAAATTTTGGAAGTGCAGGAGAAGTTCCGGCACTTCGTGGACCATTGGCGCATGGCAAAAACGGTTGTCGGGAGAGATCAGCTTTCAAAGAACGTCAGAGAACCTGCTGTTCTCACTGCGGATTGGACTCGGAGAACTCAACTGGAGATTCCACCGACAAGACCTACGAACTGCTCACCAAGACCTTGGCGGCCATCAAGGAGAGTAATAAGACGACCAAGAACTCCGTGGAATCGCTTTCGGAGGTAGTGGTAGCGGGTATCCAGGGACAAGCATCGGACAAGGCGCCCCCAAATACAGTGGAAAAGAAGTGGCCCACAAGGCTCTCCTACCTGAAGAGAGTTGCTGGTACTACAACCTCAGCTCAGCTTCCCATTCTCTGGCACGAGCTAGCAAAGTGTAAGAAGCACGAATCAATTGGAATTGTGCAGTCCCTGCTGGACAATGAGGCCAAAAAACTGAACCTCAATCTGGAATTCATCGTTTCAGCCCGAGTAATCAAGAGCCTGAAACACAGGGAGGTCCTGCTGAATATAGTCCTTCCGGCGTCCGTAGCACTAAACCTGTACCCTAGGAATCCCAAATTATTACCGTTAAACTATTGAGATGCGTGCGCGCCAACTGAAACCGACGCAATCTGACAAAACGGAATCTAATTATTCAGCAGTACTGCTGAATTTCAGCAGTACTGCTGAATTTTTCAGCAGTTCGCTGAATTTTAAAATTCCCTTTGTCATTCCATTATATTAATCGCCAATCAATTGTCAGATATAAACCACCATCAACACCTTCTTGACAACGCCTCTGACAAGCAATACAACCTGCCAGAGCAGCTCTTTTCTGAAGATGAGTTCCTGAAACTAGGAAGGGTTCTAGGAAGCAGCTGGAGCAACAAACAAATCGATAGATAGTCCAAGACTAGGCGACAAAGCTTCTTCACTGACGATTTCTATGCCGATGCAAAGACTGTGAAGCAGATGTTCAAAGATGTCCAGCAAGAGCCAACAAAGATTATGCTGGGTAACTGCACGGTAGCCAAAGACACGGACGGCGATTGGCATTGGTCACCACCAGCAGAAGCTTCCCTTAGAGTTGATGTCCAAAATGGCAAGCACAAGGACATGAAGCCCAAAATGCTCCACCAACAACGCGATGAGTACAAAGCGTTTGACTTGAAACCTTTCTGGGCCCACATCTATCAGGAGACTAGGCGAAACAAGGATTCTGCATACTGGTTGGGAAGGAAGAAGAAAAAGGAGAAGAGACTTGCAAAACATCAAGGAAAACGATATAAGGATGACGACAATTACTTTTACGATCCTTTCATTGATTTCGTATCCCTAAAGGACTAGTTTTACGATTGCTAGTCTACAATAAAATATTAATAGTACTACTGTGAATCATTTTTGTCTTGCAACAACACTATCAGTTCTATTGTTTTACCTGCTGGCGGAATCTGAAAAACGGAATCTATTTATTCAGCAGTACTGCTGAAAAATTCAGCAGTTGAGAAGGGAATAAATAGATTCCGTATCTGCATGCTCAGAAAATGCTACGCTGGCGAAAAAACCGTTATGCTAGTTTCAATATTGACCCAGTCGTGGAGGGAAACGTACAACATACAGGCAGTGTTCAGCAGGACCTCCCTGTGTTGCTGGTGGAATTGGAATTTTGTTCGCGCGGCGATGTTGAAAAGGGTTTGAACGTGTTTAACAGTGTCTGTTTCCAGCACTACAAAAATGCAAACACGATCAACGATTACAACAAGAGCGATTATTGGTTGACGGGCAAAAAGACGACCGCTTCAATGAAGGATCATCAAGCCCATGACAAGATCAAGCATGCTATCTTCCCATAGGATCCCATGCAGTTCTGTGAGATGGTCAATGGCATGCGGGTATTCTACCGTGTAGTGTTTGGGAAAAATCATCCACTGACAGCGGTGTACAAAAGGTTTGCAAAGAATGTGGATTCAATTGCACAAAAGATGGGAGTGTCCTAGCAGGAGCGAGCACTCAAGAGATTTCTCTTTGGAATCTATTCCCAAATTGATCATTACTTTGAGCGCTTGGTAAGATCTGGCACAAACGCCAAAGAGAACCTACCCGACTTGGGCACCTACATGGAGACATGGTGGAACAGGAGACAAGACTGAGAGTCAGCTGAAGAGAGAGGAGGAAAGGGCCTGACATGATTGAAGAGCATTGCTACCCGGAAGAACTACTACTGAGTTAATCAAACAGACAGGCGAACAGCCTCCAAAGCACGCCAACGGCAAGGAACTGTGCCTCATTTGGCACAGAAAGGGCGAATGCAAGGAGCACTGTGAACGCAAGCATTCTCATTGTAAGCTGACTGACGAGGAAGCAACTGCAATGAAGGATTATGTAAATAAGAATAACTGAGATGGAGGCCGGGAATCATCGGATTCTTGCAGGCCAAATCAATTGGACCCACTTTTGTTACAATCTACTTTAATTGGAGGTAGTGCTAATACTATAGGTGAGCTGGTTGCGTTGGCAAATGAAACTTATTTAAAACACGGTTGGCAAGTCACTGCTCGTTTATTTTGTTCAGATGATGCTGCACCAGACATTGATTAGCCTCCGCACCCTACCGCACCAATGCTACACCAAGTAATGAAAAATGGGGCTCCTGTGGTGGTTCATTTGGAGCCATGGAGCCAGAGCCAACTCAACACGCAAGTCGCTCGGGGCTGTCACTCATCAGCAAACGAATTCAAAGAGTTTCTGATGGAGGAGTTTTTGGATTTTGGCCATACAACGCCGTCAAGGACGAGAAAGGACTTCGCCTTTCTCCAATTGGCTGGGTCGCCCGGAAGGTGCTGACTTGTTTTGGAGGATGATAGCCTTAGCTTACAGTAGTCTTGTCAAAAGCAATTTTGCCAAATGTCAAGTACATCTATTACCTGCCCAGGATCCAGACTGTTGTCCTTAGACTGAATGGAAGAGCCTACCTGGGACTAAGATTTACAATATGGACAAAGCAGGATTGGACTCAACAGAACACGAGAACAATTGCTTGGTTCCCAGTCAACTAGGACATCAGCTATTCCAGGTTACACCTGAAGGAGATCAAATGCCTTGTCACATTACGATGGCAATATTTTCCAGAGCTGATGGGGTTTACAATGATGCTTCCAATGGCATCCATGGCAGTCGGATGCCAAGAATGTACAATCAGACAATAGACAATGACATTGGTATTTGAGGATCTTACACAAGAGGTTTTGACCAGAATAATCCTTTGGGAATCATGGTTTGAGCAACTCACAATGGAAGTATGACTAAAGATACATCTGTGGACACCTGTATCCATTTGTGATTCATCTGCCACCTGGTCAGGGGAAGGGCGGTGTTTGGAGCTTTCTTCTGCTTGATAGCCATGTTTCACAATGGAGTCCCCTTGCATTGAATCTTCTCTTTGAACACAAAGTGATGCCAATTCACTTTCCTTCTCACCTAAGCATTGTTGTGCAACCACAAGACAACGGTGTGATTTCTTTCCTTCAGCAGTGTATTGCAAATGCATGGGACAAAATGCAGCTTTCCCAGGAAAGGCTTGGAGACAGCTCTGACTGAGTTTTAATAGGAAGAGCGCCATAAACTCATGAGCTGTGGGTCAAACTCAACTACTCAAGCTTGGGGTGAAAGACTGGTCTATCCCCCAGAGAGCCTCCAGACATATGGTGTCCTGAATGGTAAAAAGATTCAGCCATTTGAGCTCTATGTCGCCTCCATGCCTAGTGACCAAGCCTCAAAGTCTCTTCCACCTCCAGAGCACGATAAGATCATCAATGAAGCAAGGGCAAATCTTGGACATGGAGGCACGCCAATCAAATCTATGAACTCTGCCCTTGATCAGTTCTATGCAAAGTGCTATCAAATTACCTCAAGTCTGATTGACAATTGGCTGGAGGAGCTGCCAGAAACAAGATCAGCTTGGCCAAAAGCAACATCAGAAGCTCAACAAGTTGTTGTTCAATACATACCATTGAAAGTGGTAACAAAATTGACCCATGCAAGGACATTTGGGATCATGAGGTTGTGCTAGCTGAAACGAAAGCCTGCAAATTCATTGCCCTTGTCACCATCTCTTTACCTGACATATCAATCAAAGTTTGTAGGGCTTCCAAACCAATAGACTTATGACTAATGGCTGTAAAGATTGAACCCAGAAAGTGGCAAATTCATGTTGTGCAGTCTGATTCTGAGATGCTGGATGAGAATGGATGGAGCGTGAACTGTGCAAATAGAGCCCTCAGCATGAACAATAGAGCTTGCCGCAAAAGTGGAAGATGTGGTTAGAAGATTGATCAAACAGGAGCATGAGAAAAAAATCAAGACAGCAGTCAAGACTCATGTGAAGGGAAACTGGGAGATATTCTGGAGTCACATTCTTCCCATGTTTAACACTCGTTTGGTGCATGAAGTCCTTGTTGAGGTTTCCGGCAAAAAGAAGGCCTGTACTGTCAGTACAGATGGGGAAAGAGTAGCACTGATGGATTTACTTGTGTTGAGTACAGTTGCAAAGACAATTGTTGGGGGAATTGATAAAGCAACAAAAGAAAAAGCAGGAAAAAATATATATATCCAGAATCTATGACATTCTTGTGGCTTGGATGTGTTTCAAGGTAGCCAAAAAGCTGTAATAATGCATGGAAGTGTACAACACAGGGCGTGGCATTAAACAAAGGCATCATTAAGACTTCAGCATGAGACAATTTCCAAAAAGTTGATTTGGAGGAAGGCAAATGATAGGCGGCTTTCTCAAGGAAAAACAATGCAGTTAGCTGTGCAACTCTTAATCTGACAGAAATAAATGAAAGTAGATAGATAGACAATGATAGAGATTAATTCAGGTAACACAACATGCAGTGAGAAAAGCAACAAGTCCCATTCCTACTACAATTCTTTCACAATTCTTGACATAGCAGCAAGCCAGTATGCCTGCTCCACAAAGCGCTCAAAGAGGATGCATGGAGTAGCAATAAGGAATGTGTTTGCTTGTACAGCAACTTGCCTGGCAAATGAAAGATGACAAAAATCTACAGATCATGGCTGAATTGGCTCTAGAATGAAATAGAATGAGAAGATTTCCAGATATTTCTAGGCAACAACTTCCTCCCATGACATCCGATAAGTAAGTAGAATGCAATGTATTGACATTTGACTAGAATTTAATTGACAATAATTTGCCCAAGGGTGTGTTTTGCATGGTGAAAGTACTTTGCAATAGGTCCAAATCCACCTTAAACACACTATGTTTACCAGATCATAGCACTGCACTGTTGCCAGCATTTGTAAGATTCTGCGATTATTGATCGATAATACAAGATTGCCACCTATGGTTGTAGGCATTGCATTCATGCCATGCAAGCTTTACTAGTCGGAAAGCAGGGTACTGTATTTGAACAATTGTTCCATTCACTGTATCATTCATAATTTAGAATGTTAGAACCTCAAACCATTGTTCATTAGCACGGTTTGTTTTTGCATGCTGAGACACCAACCGGGTTCTAGACAAGACATCAGCACCATTCTAGACAAGTAGCTTCTTGATCAGCTCCAAATTACCATCACAACATGACCTTTGGACTATCAACATGACCAGGTCAAATTCATCCTTGCAACACAACATTTCAAATGGTGTCATTCCAATTGTGGCTTTGGCATGAGCACAAGCACCCTTTTCAACTAGGAACTTGACTACCTTTAAATGACCCTTCCCACATGCCCAATGCATTGGTGTCTCTCCACCTATTTTCTTGGCATTGACATCAGCGCCTATCTTGACAAGCGATTTGGCCAGGTCTAAATGATCCTCACTGCATGCTATATGCAATGACGTCTTTCCTTCTGCATCTGTGGCATTCACATCAGCACCCTGATCGAGTAACAACTTGACCATCTCCAATTGACCATGCTCTCCTACCTTGTACAATAATGTCTTTCCATGATTGTCCGTGGCATTAACGTCAGCACCCTTCTCAAGTAGCAAATTGACTACATCTAAATGACCATATGACCATGCCTCATGCAATGGTGTGTTTCCATGTTGATTATTGGCATCAATGTCAGCACCCTTCTGAAGTAGCAATTTGACCATCTCTAGACGACCGTCACAGCTGGCCTTGTGCAATGGTGCAAGTCCAAAAAGATTTCTGGCATCAATGTCAGCACCATTTTTGAGTAGCAACTTCACAACATCAAAATGACCTTCTTCGCATGCCATGTAAAATGGTGTGTCTCCATTGTGATTCTTAGCATTAACGTCAGCACCCTTCTCAAGTAGCAACTCGATTGTCTTAAAATGATCCGCAAAAGATGCCTTGTGTAATGATGTGTCTCCATAGTGATCCTTGGCATGAATGTCAGCACCCTTCTTGAGTAGCAACTTGACCATCTCTAAATGACCATAACGGCATACAACCAGCCGAGTGGAGCTACAAGTAAATCGCCAGCACACCTACGCCTGCAGGCATAGTTCCCTGACCCTCATCCATGGTGTATGTTGACGCGCTTTTTCTCACTGAAAAAGTGTGTAATTCACCAAGTCCAAAACTACATTAACCTCTACTGTACTTCAGGATTACTATAACTGTCCATCCGCCGCTCAACAGATCATTTTCATACTAATTTGTCGGAAGACTGCTGATCCAAGATTTTTAGCCCCATACAGACCTACAATCAAAATTTTCTGCATACAAATGTTTTAGTTTGAGTCCTTAGCTTTCATTCCATTGGGTGAGCACCTCTCTGCTATGCTCTAGAGAGCTGCTGTAGCGCAAAATGTCAATAAATCCTTTGGATATCAATCAAAAGGAGCTGATAACATTGTGCTAAAGCGACTCACTAGAGCATAGCAGAGAGGTGCTCACCCAATAGGATGAAAGCCAAGGACTTAAGCTAAGACATTTGTATGGGAGAAATTTTGATTTTAGTTCTGCATGGGGTTTTGGATCATCAGTCTTCCACCTACAGATGTCCTGTTGAGCGGCGGACGGACCGTTAAGCAGACTCTGCTGAATCAAAGTTCCAAAATATGAAGACAAAACAAAAGAGCTGCCAGTTCTAGATATTGCAAGCATGCTTGTTTTTCAACTCCCTCTCCGACTCTGTTCTGCAACCTGGAAGAATTGGCTAGTAGCCACCTGTTGTGCAAGGTCTATCCTGGTTCACCATACAACCTACAGTCACCGTACTTTCCATAGATCTACCGTATTCTATCTAGCTCACTATTTCTCATTCATCTACATTTGCATTGCATTTGGATTTAGTCATATCTACTAGTACGACAGGTTTTAAAGCCCTTTGTAACGCTACTGTCTATCTGCGCCAACAAGCTACTACAACACCAATACTCACTTGCCAGTGCAATACAAGTCTGCACTCATCAGCTTCCCTTATGCATTTCCCATCTCATTCACACATCGACTGTTGATTGTTTTGGAACGCGTCCAAGCCCGACAACTTCAGTTCCTTGGAAGCGATTGAGTTCATCTTCGTTGACAATAAGCACCAGCTAGAACCAGTCTACAAAAATTATTTTGGTAACACCTTGGAACCCCAGGCAGCAAAAGCGCTTTTTATCAACAATGATCCAGCAAAGAACCTTTGTCCTGACTCTGAACTCCTTCTGGCATTACAGCTGATTGTAGTGGACACCCTCTTTGCTCCAAATGCACGGGACACTAAGACATGAAGACTATCCATCAACTTGTTGCCATTGCACATCTCACTGTGTTGAGCACCAAGACCAACAGAATGGTTTGTGTCAACACAAGATCAAATGTAACTGCAATGAGAGACACCATCGCCACTGGGGTAATTGACCCAGGATTTAGTTATATCTGCTAGTACGGCACCACCTTCTTGCAAGTTGTTTGCTGTTAGGAGGGCATCCACCAGAAGACACAGAGCAACAGGCTGTTGCAGTGGCCTCTTGATTGGGTGCCTTTTTTGTGTTCGTGAAAGGTGCAAACTTGATGTCCGCCATTTTGTGAAGCAAGTCCTTCCAAACTTCAGAAGGAGTTTTGCCCTGTCTTCTTGGGTCGCTCAAGTAATCTTCAACAATTCTCTTGGCATCAGAATTGTATTTCGTTGCTCCAAGGAGAGCTTGTAGGGCTTTTTTGAAAATTCCCATCATCAGCCCAGAGTAGTCTTCGGGTGGCGTGTCTTCAAAGACACTATCAAAAAAAGATGCCTTGGTTTCAATGGATGTCAATACAAAGCCCATTACAAGATCTTTGACCGATCCCGTCTCAGAAGACATGGCATAATGCTCTCGTTGCTCGTGACTGAATTGCTTGAGTTTTGCTTGATCCAGGCTTCTTTCTTTCAGCACATCAAGATGAGCAGAAATTTGATAATCAAGTGGGAAGGGGCTTTCTGCAGACAACAGCTTCTGCTTGAATGCAATGATGGGTGCCTCCCAGCCAAAAATGCAATGCTGATGCCCTTTTCAGCAACATAGACCACAGCGGTGATAGGAGCCTGCTCGTATTTTGCCGAGCTCCTAGCAAGCGACGACTCCAAATCTTTGGATGTATGGACTCTCTTTGCACAGATATTAGGCTGACAGCATGTAATGCTTATCTCACTGTCATCAGGTTCCTTTTCATTCTCAGCCAAGATGCCAGGCCGAATAAAGAGTGACAGGTTCAGCAACTGGTTCCTTCCAAGATGAGTGATCTGAGACTTATCAAAATCGAA